GATTGCTGTATCACATCAGTTACCCTTCCATTGATTGACATATTGCCTTTCTAGTGTCTGATGTATTCTGCTATCTGTCCTATTCTCTACTATCCCCCCTCCCCTCCCCTCCCCTCCCCTTTTCTCTCTCTACCCCTTCTACTGTAAATCATTTCTTCCATTTGTACCTTTCTCTTCTTACTGTCATCTCCCACCCCATCCCTAGGGGTCCTCTCCCCTCCCTTCGTTCCCAGCACAATCCCTCTATACAACTATTAGCAAATGTTCAAAATAACATGAACCGAGATCATTTGGCCTTCAGTTTTAAATTTGTTTTATTAAATGATTTTTAGTTGGAAAGGAATCTTCCACCATAGTCAAATACCCTGAACTGAATGCTATGAAGTCAGCCTGATCCTCCGGCCTTTGAAATTTTCACCAGTGGACCAGGTTTTCCTAAAAGAACCAGCACCTGACTGGTCCAGCAAATACCCTGGGACAGTGAATACAAAGGCCTTCCCTGATTGAAGAAGGCAAAAATAGAAAGATAAAATACAAGACTTTTTTCTATCTGGATTCTTTTATACAGCAGCCAAACACAAATTGTAATCTCAATGTGAACTGAATGATGTTGGATATTTTATTTAGAATCTGAGGTGGTGAACAAGACCTCAGAATTGTCAACATCTCATTACTGTGGCTCTCACTTTAAAAATGAGACCAAGTGGAACAAAATTGCTATTTTGATAAATCCATTTCTGAATGCAAATGAGAAATACATAAACTAGGAGAACAGAATGAATTCTGTCCCTAAAGCTTTTCCACTCATATGAGAAACATTTGTCAGATGCCAAAAGCAGTCACATAAATTAGCTAAAGAAAGATAATGGGAACTCTAATACACAATATAAATAGGGTGTGAGGGATTGGAAAAATTCTATTTATTAGTAACAGAAGATCCAGTTCCATGTCTTCACAGTGAGAATAAGTGATGGGGATTCATATGCAGGACATCAGGAAAGGTAAACTGTGGCTCTCAAGGGAGACTAGACATAAAATACTCAGAGAATTAGGGAAGCGCCTTCCTCATCTACTATATTCTAGCTCATGGGAAGGAATTAAAGAAATAAGGAAAGAAAAGGGATCGGGCTCTTTGAACTCCTCTTCCAAAGGGTCAATTTTTATGCATTTATGCATTTGCAGGTTCTCTGAAAAGGATACTTTCATCCTTGTGATATGCTATCATTTGGCTCTGAATTGCCCCCTAAAGGCCCATGTGTAAAAGCTTGGTCCCCAGGATGGCACTGTTGGAGGTTGTGGAACCTTTGGGAGGGAGGCCTGATGAAAGATCCTTAGGCCATGGGGGCAATGCTCTTGAAGGAAATTGTGAGACCCTGGCCCCTTCTTCTTCCTTCCTTTGCTTTCTGCTCATTATGTAAGTAGTTTTGCTCTGCCATGTGTTCCCACCATGATGTGCTGCCTCACCACAGGCCCAAGACAATGGGTCTAATCCATCATGAACTGGAACCTCCAGAACCCGTGAGCCAAAATAAACCTTTTATCTTTTTTTTTAAAACCTTTTATCTTTATAAAATAATAGTCTCAGACATTTTCTCAGAGTAACATGAAGCTAACATAGGATATAAACTCAGATCTTTCAGTGTGTATTGAAGGAAGGAGAGAGGAAGGACTGATGAACAAATAAACAGGTGAATAAACTAGTGATATTTCCTAATACCTCTCCATGGCTTATCTCACCTCTCTTACAATACCTATCCCCAAGCAAGGAGAAAAAGACCACAGGGGCTCTGCTGGGTCCATTCTGTCAGAAAGAGAGATATGCACCAGTAAAATGTAAAGAAGCCTATGTGACATGAGAAGACAGAGGTGACATCCCACATAGCTCTTTCACAAGCCTGCCACAGAGATGTGTCATTTGAGATTAACACTTTTTGCTAAAGGGACTCTGCATCTGGAAATAATGCCCAGAATGTATAGGTAACATGTCAACCTGTCCACGGACATCAAAACACTGATGTGAATTTTTTAAATTGGCTGGTCACCTCACAATATTCCAGAGAAATAGGACTTTGTAGCAGTGTCTGAATACAGGGAAAGAGAAGGTTTGAGGACATTCAGTCCTTTCTGGAAAGATCACACCCTGGTCAAGCTTTTAAGGGCAGAAATGTTATTTTATTTGTATAGTCATGCATCACTTAATGACAATGAAACGTATTTTTATGCAATTTCTATGTGTACGTACATAAACCTAGATGGTTCAGCTTAACACATATCTGGCTACATGCTTCAGATTATTGCTTCTAGTCTACAAACCTGTATAGCATGCTACTATACAGGGTGCAGTGGTACACGCCTGTAATCCCAGCAGCTCGGGAGGCTGAGGCAGGAGGATGGCGAGTTCAAAGCCAACCTCAGCAATATAGTGAGGTGCTAAGCAACTCAGTGAGACCCTGTCTCTAAATAAAATACAAAAAAGAGCTGGGGATGTGGCTCAATGGTTAAGTGGCCCTGGGTTCAATCCCCTGTACCAAAAAAAAAAAAATAGACAATTATAACATAATGGTAGGTATTTGTGCATCTAAACACATCTAAACATAGAAAAGGTACAGTAAAATACTAGTAAAAAAAAAACTTCAGCTTTATCTTAATTTTATGAAACCACTATCCGATACACAATCAATTTTAGCCAAAATGTCATTATACATCACAAAATGTATTTAGTTTATATTTTCCACCAACTTCTAAAATTTCCTTAAGGGATCATACTGCTGAGCACTGTGACTCTTCGAAACTATTTGTCCTCATCTAGATTTATGTTACCATAAAAGACATGAACAGAGGCAACAGCTTGCTGCTGTTTTTAAGGAAATTAATGATGCATGAATACATTATCTCAAAATGACCACAAGAGTGTGTGGTGTGTACAAGCTTTGCATCAAGGCCTAGCCATACACTTTGTGTGTGCTAGTCACACACTGCTAGCTGGCAGAAACAGGACAACTTCTCTGACAGTACTCAGCAGAGGTCTTAACAAGTTCAAATACACAGCCTTTCAACATTAGAGGTGTCAATTTTAGAGCTCTCATTTAGGACAGTACGCAAGAAGAGGTTATCCCAGCTATTTTTACATAGCTAAGATGCCTGAATCAACCTAATGCCCCACAAGTGACTACCTGCTGCACATCCAGTGCAATAAACTCTTTGTGTCCCAAGGCCTTGCAGAACACCTGAGACATACTAAGAATTCAGTAAGCGAATTTATGACTGAGTAAAACATAATGCATCTATGAAGATATTTTCAAAGAGTATTTTCAAAGAGTATTCAGTGTCAGGAGCAAATATTCACTCATACTGTTCAGAGGGGAAAAAAGATACAAAACAATATATACAGCATGAGTCTGCTTTTAAAAGACAGTAAAAATATTTTTTAATACTAATACTAATACTAATACTAATGTTGACAGAGGTCAACTGTGATTTGTCTTTGAGAACTTTTTCTTATTAACATTTTTCCTATTTTCAGGGGTTTATTTTTTTCCTTTTCTTTAAAAAAAATTTTGTTTCTATCATGTTTCTTCTGAATGAATTGACCATTCCCACCAAGATAGTGAATAGCCAAAAGACCAAAGGAAGCTATCACTCTTGGCTCCTGTTTGAAACCAATAGCTACCGCAAACATGTGTCTTGATTCAGAACCAATTATTTTCACAGTTTTTAAAATAATAGTCATATTTAAACAATAATCATATTTAAATATATAATATTTAAACAGATATTGTATTTGAACAAATCATTTTAAACAATAAGCATAATCTAACTTTTAGTTAGAAAAAGGAAACAAACTTTTTTTAAAGACTACTCTGGGAAATATTATATCATATTTTGAATGAACAAAAGATCTATATTTCAAAATCAGCTAAGCTATAATTTGTTTAAAATCAATTCAATTGTATCTGTTTGTATAACTCCATTCACACACAGAACCTTCAGGAAAAATGCCTTATAGATACAAATTCTCAGTGTTTTACCACACCAGTTGTCTGGTGTGGTAAGAATATATTGGTACCATGTTTTAAAGGTTCTGAAAGAAGCCCATCAATTTTCAAAACACCTTACATAATGAAGAAAATGAAAACATTTTCTGGGTTTTCCCATTTATAAAATAAACATCTACTCACTCATATTGATCTAAGTTGTTTGATTTCTTTCCTGTTACATAATTACTTGGGATATATCCTTCACTCCTAGAAATAAGAAAAACACTGTGGGTAAACAGATATTACTTTATTGAGAGGTTATTTAAAGAAAGGAAGATAAAAGATGTTCTAAGATAGTTAAAGCATATTGCCCAAAGCTCATAAGAAAGATAAGCTCACTGTCAGTAATTCAGGATATCTGTGTCATTTGACACATTACAAAGTACTACCACGTTTGATCCTCACAAGAGTCCTGAGGCAGGCAGGCATTACTGTCCCCATTTTCTGGTGGGAAAAGCAAGGCTTAGAAAGATTCAGATATGTTCCCAAGGTCCCAAAGCTAGCCAGCAACTAGACCAGAGCTGATACTCTAGACTTATGGTTCAATGTAGAAATCTCCAGAATGCACAATTTCTTGGGATTTTTTTTTCCTCCACATTTTTTATTTATGTATTATAATAGCATATAATGTTGGGATTTGTTGTTACATATTTATACATGCTCTTGGGATGTTTTAAAGAAACTAGAATATTCACAAAAGCAAAAGTGCTAAATAAAGGCACACACCACTCTAACACCTTGACAGTACTTATAATATAGCTTCACTGAGGTACTTGTTAAAAAGGCAAATTCCCTAGCATGAGCAAGGCCGTGGGTTCTATTCTCAGCCCCACAAAAAGCAAAAAGGCAAATTCTTGAATCACACCCCAAGTCAGGAATTAAGAAGGCCTACGTACTCCAATAGCCCAAGAAAAACACACCAGGAAGATTGGTAAATCAAGATGGTAAAAATGTTGGTAATTTTTTAAGTTAATTAATGTTATTATATGTTTTTGTAGATGTTTGGAAATTTCTACAATACAGGTTGAATATATCTTATCTGAAATACTTGGGACCAAAAGTGTTCCAGAGTTTTCTGAATTTTAGAATATTTACATAGACTCTACCAGTTAAGCATCCCTAAACTTATCATCTGAAACCCAGTACTCCAAAACCAAAAACTTTCAGAATATCAACAAAGTACTTTGGATTTAGGTTTTTGGATTAATGTTGCTTCAACTGCATAAAATTATGAATAAAATATCTGATAAAGAGAAGCAGGAACTTCTTATAAACACAAAAGGTTAAGATTCCCAAGAAGGTAATAATGCTCAACAAACCAGCACCCAGGTGACCAGAAGTGCCAAGACCTGAATAGAAGAGGGGACCCTGCCTCACCCAGGGGCTACCACTGTTCCCCCAAATGAACTGAGGAACAGAGAGAGGAACTGGGGATGGGTCAAGGAGGTGAGAACAGATGGAAGAGAAGGTACTTTCTCAGGACAGAAGACCCCTGTTCTTATCCACTGGAACTCATAATGTAAATGCATAGTATTTCAGAGGTGAGCACAGGATATAGTTCACTTAATGAAGCCCAAGAGAGACTCATCCTCTGTGTTTAACCGTATCTGCCTATATATTTAAAATAAGGTTAAAAGAATTGTTACACTTAAATCCTACGTTATCTGGTGCAAATAATGCTAGGGTTTTTTTGTTTGTGTTTTGAGATGGGGTCTCACTATGTTGCCCAGGCTGGTCTTAAACTCCTAGGCTCAGGTAATGCTCCTGACTCAGCCTTATTAACACTAGGACTACAGATGTATGCCATCATGCCTGACAATACTTGCTGTTTATTTCCTGTATGCATGTATGTATGTTTGTGTGTGTGTGTATATATATATATATATATATATAATATATAATATATATTTATTTATTTTATACATATACATATATATGCATACATATATATAAGTACTCTCCCTTCCTATTTCTCTTTCTGATGAAGAGAGGGAGAGAGAAAGACAATTTCAAGTGACAAGAGGCTCCATTATATCATGTCTGTATATATGTAAACATGTACACGTAAAGAGAGAAATTCTAAAAAATTTATGATAGATAATACCTTAGAAAGACCTAAGATTACCTACTTAGATAATCTTAAGGATTATATATAACTATTTCTCCTTAGGTCAAAATAGTCAAATAAAACATATGGCGGATGAGAAAGAGATGAGTATAATCTCTTCCAACCTCTGGGAAGAAGTGATTGATCAGTTTGCATTTATTGAGTGACTACTAAGAATACACAGTGGTACTAGAAAGTAATAATGAATACTTTGACTTCTGGCAAACTACAACCTCATTACATGACAGATAGAGCACATATACTTCACTCAATACTTCACTCCTACCCACTCACTGCATGCAAGGGCCAGGGAGAGAATGCTTACCCATATTTATCTCTTGCTCTCCACCAGTGGACATCATTCTTTTCCAATATGATATACTCTTGACCTCTCTCTAATCTGAGGTCATGCGCTTCTGTTGCTTGGAAATCATACATTGCAACAACTATTTCTTCACTACTATCTTCTTCAGGAGGAATTGGTGGGGGAGGCCTTCTCTGAGCAAACAAGATAACATGTGAAAGTTTAGTCTTCTATCTGAAACTGATCTTGAAATAAAACAGTAAAACACTGAAGGATTCACACATTATCAAAGAATAAGGCAGAGCCCTCTAATCAAATATGTCACCTGATAGCAACCAGAGAACCCTCCAATCTTAGATGCAGTAGATGCTACCACATCTCTTATGGGTTTTCAGAATACAGGACAAGAGCAAAAACCATCTTGAAACATGGAAACAATTTTTATGTGTCAGGAACAGTTTTCCAGGGAGAGGCAGGGGTAATACGTGAATAGAGACCAGGAGAACTAAAGGGAGACCCATCACTGAAATGTCCCGCAGTGGGGAAAGCCCACCATGGAGTCTGTTAACAGGTTTCCTCCCATTCAAAGGGATTTGCACTTCTTTATGCCCACACTGCTCAAGGCACATGCTTAGGATCTAACAGTTTTTCTCTTTTGTTCTTAATATTGCTACCATGAAATACAGCATAGTAACTCCCATGTTACCAGTGAGGCAAGAATGGTTTACACAGTCCCTCCAAAGTCACTCATATCAGATTCACATCAGCTCAGTTCAGGACTGGGTCCAAAGTCCATGCTTTTCCACCATATGCCAGTCTTCAAATATATGACTAAATCACTAAAATCACTCATGGATCATACTGGGGGTTCCTTGTTTTGTTGTAGGTTTTGTTGGTTTGGTTTGATTGTTTGTTTTTTTAACCAGGGATTGAACTCATGAACCCAGGGAAACTTAACCCTCGAGCCACATCCCCCAGCCTTTAAATTTTTTTTTCATTTTGAGACAGGGTCTCACTAAGTAGCTTAGGCCTTGCTAAATTGCTGGGGCTGGCCTTGAATTTTCGATCTTCCTACCTCAGCTTCCTGAGTTGCTGAGATTACAGGTGTGCGCCACTGCACCCCACTGTCATATTGTATTCTTGAAACCAAAATTTCCTTTTAAAAAAGTCCCACACTTCTGATACAACTCTTTCAGCCCAGCTACAGACAAAATGCCAGATAAGAACAGGACTCCCAGTGATAAAATCTATATAATTAAATTGATATTATTTCACATCAAGGACAATTCAAATAAGTCATAACCTATCTGCTTCTAAGATGGTCGTGGGGGAAAAACCACATCATAAAACTAATATTTTTACTTATTTTAATATTTTAAAACTCACTTTATTTATTGTTAATATTCATTTTAATATTTTATTCATATTAAACATAATTAATAAACTGCAAATCCCTCCAAAACCTAAGGACAGAAAGGCTGAAAATTTAGATGTAACTGCCCAATGCAAGAGATCACCTACCTTTTTCGTTTCTGGGGCTGGAGGTAGTGCTTTTCTTACACCTGAAAATGTCAACAACAAATATAGGTCAAAATGCTGTGTAGCAATGATCGATAAAGATATTGGTGGCTTCAAGGAAAACAGAACACACAGGCAAGGGACTTGTCCGCCTGACTAAGGGGGTGTTGCCAGTACCTCTGCCTCTGTGTCCCCACCACTGTTAAACTGGGTTCACCATAATGTATATTCAATTTAAAAATAAACTGAATTACAGTAGTCCCCCATATCTGTCCTTTCACTTTCCACAGTTTCAGTTGTTCTGAGTCAACCACAATACGGAATATTAAATGGAAAATTCCAGAGATAAACAACTCTTAATTTTTTAAATCGAACCTTTCTCTGAGGAGTATGATAAAATCTCAGTCCCCACTCAGTCCCTCCCAGGACATGAATCACCCCTTTGTCCAGCACATCCACGCTGCATACACTCCCAGCCCCGTTAATCACTGAGCAGCCTCAGTTGGTGATGTCATGGGGCTTATATTGAACTAACCCTTACTTTACTTAATAATGGCCTCAAAGTGCTACAGCAGTGATGAGTGATGCTGGCGATTTGGATATGCCAAAGAGAGGCCGTAAAGGGCTTCCTTTAAGAAAAAGCTGAAATTTCTTGAGTTAGAAGAAAAAAAAATTGTATGCTGAGGTTACTAAGATCCACAATTCAATAAGATACTTTGAGAGACCACATTTA